AGGTAACTCGTTTATAAACCTACTCAAACACAGGAGAATACATCATCTTTCTTAAAGGGGTCATATGATGTTGCTAAACAGAACATTATTTTGTGTATTTGGTGTAATGAAATGTGTTTATGCGGTTTAAAGTGAAAAAAACACATTATTTTCCACATACTGTACATTATTGTTTCTCCTCTATGCCCCGCCTTTTTGAAACGCGTCGATTTTTACAAAGCTCATCGGTCTGAAAAGCGAGGTGTGCTGTGATTGGCCAGCTATCCAGTGCGTTGTGATTGGCCGAATTCCTCAAGCGTGTGACGGAAATGTTACACCCCTCACCATATTGTTGTATTCCCTCAGCGACCAGCACAGATCAGCTCTAGGCATGACGAAGTGGATATCGTCCTCTTTTGGAAGACCAAACAAAGTAGTTTCGCTTTCACTACGAAGCATATGGAACGATATTCCGGACAATTTTCAAAAGGAATTGCAAATTGTATTTTCAATTGCGTTTTCAACATGTGGACGCATAAATTGTGACGTAATCCAAATGCAATTGCAAATCCTGCATTAGCGTTTGCATTTTCGCTTTCGCGACAAGACCTTTTACCGTTTGCAAGCCACTTGATGCACTTAAGCAAACAAACAGCAAATCTACACGTATTTACCTATTTGCCGCCTATATCGTATTCCTATCTAATAGCCCATGTGCTTTTACGATCCGATAGATGCATGTGACAAAACAGAAAATGCTGCTACTCTTACTCTGCCTGCCCCAGATGACACTTCCGTAACTGTGTGAACGAACAGGCAGTGCAACCTTCTTGGCATAATACATAATTATGTATGTTTTACCCCAAATGTAGCGATTATCCCCTGCTAACAGCGGGAGCCACTACGGTACAAATACAATTTGCTATTCTATTTGAAAATTGTCCGGAAAATCGTTCCATAGAAGCACACAGCGTCTTCAGGATATGGCGGCGGCAACAATACTACAGTGAGAATAAAAGTTATGCCTTCTTTCTTTGCGTGAACATTTGGGCGGTGTTATGCAAATCTTCCCACATCTTGACGTAGACATGTGGGGGCGTGTTAGAACGAGCTGTTTTAGGTAGGCGTGGCTGACTCTTAACTGTTATAAAGAGTATCTCTTTGGATTTGAGACTTTAGTCTTTGCAACTTTACAGATCTTCTTTATGCACCAAGAGCTTGTAACACTCCAAAGAGAAAGGAAAAATGGAAATCGCATCATATGACCCCTTTAATATGCTAACTGTTAATCGACGTCAAAATAAAAGCTCAAACCCTCACTCTCAGTTTACACATTTTGATGCCCAAGTATTCAAGAAATTACAGTGGCTATTAAACAAATATAAGTAATATTAAACAAGGATTAGATCGTGCAGTAAACTGTAAAAACAATCATCAGGCCGTTGGCGCCTCTGCAGGCCTTTGATAATACATTAGCTCTATTGTTTATAATGCATTATGTATTTCAACAGTTTTGTTCAATAAAACCATACGATTACTTGCTTTTCATACTTTATTTGAACAAATTATTATTGCTGCATTGCTATTATATATGTATTTTAAGTAATTTTAAAGGCTATTATTCACTTAGGTCTATTACTACAAAAACATATTATAATTATCCAATTACTCGATTAATCCTCAGAATAATCGACAGATTGCTTGATTACCAAAATAATTGTTAGTCACAGCCCTACTGTAGGTCAAAGCTACCCTGTTGGTTTTGCCAGGACAGATTTTTTAGGATGTTATATTCCTCAAGAAGTGAAAGTCCTCTGTAAGATGAAAGTCATACTCAAAATCATCTGAGAACAGAATACTACTAATACTATACTAATACTACATTTCATAACTTCATACCTATAGATGTTTCATAGATAAAACATGTAACTCCCTAAACTTTTTATTTTATGCACCACCTGGGGATTGGATGAGGATTTATTATTATTATTATTCTTTTTACAGCTGCTTACCCAAAATTTCAGAAAACATTACATGATAAAATGTGAATATTTTACTATAATTTAGGATGAGTGTTAGAGTTCAACAAGAATAGAAAATAGTGCAATATATTGAACTTTGATGCTTACACGATTTAAATTTTTTCATCAAACAATTATGTAACTTTTGTTATTGGATAATAGAGGTACTTTAATTTATTTTATGTTTGTACATTTTTATATTTGTTAATGGACAAGAGGATTCGGTTAGATTTGTATGTTTTTAGTTTGAAGGAAGTGATTAAAGTGAGACCCTTGATTTAAGATGTAAGCAATGATAAATGTAGTGTTACACACACGTATTTCTGTATTTATTTATTTTTAATTTGGTGATGCGCGCATTCCAAAGCTTCGCTCAAGCATTGGATTGCATGACGTCATAAAGAAATGGAACGTTCGTGCGCGCAGATTAATTAACAGCGTCACTTGTGTTAGAATACATAGAAGTGCGAGTTTTCGCAGTTTTCTCATTCTGCAGTTCCCGACACAGAGTTACTTTCCTGAAAGTTATCATGTGAAACTGTTATCATGACACTGAAGAGAAAAAACTGTTCTAGCGCTTGGTTGTACGATTTCCATCAGAGTACACCAACATCCAGCACCATTGCGGCTGAGAACTATCTGCCCGTTAGTGCTGGTGAGGAAAATGAGTTGCCGGTGAGAAAGAGGAGGAGGACGGAGAGTTTTGAGAAGCTGCTCTCTCTTCATTTCTGTGACCGGAGCGGCAGCTCAGATCAAGCTACTGCACCGATAAATGAGAGACGAGCTGAGGGTAAATCCAATGACAGTTGGAGAATGTGTAACTGTTTCGCATTGTCTACTTTTTTTTTTTTTAGCTATACATATGAGTATCCATTCATGGAATAATGTGATTAAATTTTCTGTTCTCTAGGATGAAGTGTCGTTAATTACCATATGTTAAAAATACACACCATCGCACCATATGAAATTGCAAAGGTCATGATTATATTTTTATTCCAGGACATGTCAAACAGATGTAACATGGTTTTCATGTAGTAACTGAAGAATCACCATAATATGTGTACGCAGTGTTTAATTATTATTATTATTTGACTGAAATATCCTTTTTTTGTTGTTGTTGTTGTTATTCCGCTCTTTAGATTATATTTCTCTGAAGTCCATTACCTGGTCTGTAGAGGATCATGATCTTCAGGAACCTCCTTTCAGTGGTCTTGAAGTCCTTTCTCCCGAAGATCAGCAGGCTCAAACTCCTCCAGTTCGAGCTTATGAAGGGAAACACTTGGAGGGTGACTTTGAGGTATTGTCATTTTCTTGCATTATTGAACTGGCAAATTGTTTTGTCTCACTAAATCCATTTCAAGACATCTTAGTGCATATTATGCTCACTCTTTAATAGTGCACATTGAAGTCCAATCTTTTTATGTGTAATGTTCATTGACACTAACCCTGATTTTTTTTTTTTTTTCTTTTCATTAGCCTGTTAGTGAGAGAAATGATAGTCAGGAGAGACAGAGAAGAAGAAAGAGTAGTTTTGAGAAGCTGCCTTCTCTTCATTTGTTTGATTGGAGCAGCATTTCAGGTCAGGGTCAGAAAGTGGAGGACCAGATTACTGCAGCCATTGGTGAGAGACGAGCTGAGGGTAAATCAAACAACCATTTGACAATGTGTTCCTTTTTTCTGTTTACTAGAGCTTTATGCATCATAAACTCAACATATTTTTTTTAATTAGGGTAATTTTTCTGTTTTCAAGGATGATGTGTCATTCATTACAATATGGGAAAATCCACAATATCACATACTTCATCAAAAATCAGTTGAAGTTTGATTCAGACCACAATCAGATTTTTATCCCAGAACATGTTATATCTCTTTAAACACAGATGAAACCAAGCAGACTGGCCGAAAGAGAAAACTAAATTCTCTCAGCGATCAGGTGTACGACTCCCATCATAGTACACCACCAACGTCCAGCCCCAATGTGGCTGAGAACCATCTGCACGTTGGTGCTGGTGAGGAAAATGAGATGCCAATGAGAAAGAAAAAGAGGGCGGAGAGTTTTGAGAAGCTGCTCTCTCTTAAATCCATTAAATGGAGCAGCGGCTCAGACCAGGCGACGATATATGAGAGACAAGTAGAAGGTAAACCAAATGACCATTTGAGATTAGGGCTGTGCAAATAATCGAATGTGATTTTCATGCGCATCTTTTTCAGTAAAGCCGGTTCTGTGATTAGTAGTAAATCTCCAGCACGTGCTTTCAGATGGAGCGGCATTTACTACACAGAGCCGTAGATCACTGACAAGCTACGCAATATCGCGTTCTTAATCGGCAATGAATCGCCTGTGATTTTGAACGCGATATTGCGTAGCTTGTCAGTAAACTGCAGCTCAGCAAGCACGTGCTGGAGATTTACTACTAATCACAGAACTGGCTTTACTGACGAGATGCGCATGAAAATCGCATTTGATTATTTGCACAGCCCTATTTGAGATTGTGTGAATGTTCACTGTTTACTAGAGCTCTGCACATCAAAAAATCCACATACATTTTAGCTAGATATGAGTATCCATTAATGGAAATCTAATTCATGAATTAGGGGAATTTTTCTGTTCCCAAAGATGAAGCGTCCTTAATTGCCATATGTTATCTACAATCGTCATAATATGAGTGTTCAATATTAAATTATTATTTGTTTAGAACATCCTTTTGTTTGTTATTCCCCTCTTTAGATCATATTTCTCTGCAGTCCATTGCCTGGTCTCTAGAGGAATCTGTTTCCAGTGATCTCGAAGACCTTCCTCCTGCAGATCAGCAGGTTCAAGACCCTCCAGCTCCAGTCCACCACAGTCCAGTCAGTCCAGCATCAGCTCATAACAACAGAGTGGACTTGACATCTGAGGGTACGTTTACTGCCCCAAACATTACACAAACTACTGTTTGACATTTCATGTCATCTACAACTGTTAAACTTTTAACAGATGGCATTCTGAGCTGGTATAAAATCGGCAAAATGCTTGGTGAGGGAGGATTCGGCTGCGTCTATGAAGGGAAACGCTTGGAGGATGGCCTTGAGGTATTGTCATGTTCTTACAATATTTGACTACATTGTTTTGTCTCACTATGTCCATTGTAAGTCATCTCAGTGTATATTATGTCCCTTATTTAGTGCACTTGCCATGTTGTAAATGTAATAAATGTTTTGTTTTGTTGTTTAGGTGGCCGTGAAAATTGCCTGCAAGCCAAGGAACATGAAATACATCTATGTTGTAAGTAGGCTACGCTCACTGTGCAAACATCCTGACAACCGGCAGCCATATCACCCTGTAGCCCAAGACTGGTTACCCACTGAAGCTAAGCAGGGCTGAGCCTGGTCAGTACCTGGATGGGAGACCTCCTGGGAAAACTAGGTTGCTGCTGGAAGAGGTGTTAGTGAGGCCAGCAGGGAGTGCTCACCCTGTGGTCTGTGTGGGTCCTAACGCCCCAGTATAGTGACGGGGACACTATACTGTCAACAAGCACCGTCCTTTGGATGAGACGTTAAACCGAGGTCCTGACTCTCTGTGGTCATTAAAAATCCCAGGATGTCTTTCGAAAAGAGTAGAGGTGTGACCTCGGCATCCTGGCCAAATTTGCCCATTGGCCTCTGATCATCATGGCCTCCTAACAATCCCCATATCTACTGATTGGCTTCATCACTCTGTCTCCTCTCCACCAGTAAGCTGGTGTGTGGTGGGCGTTCTGGCAGGTGGATGCTGCACACTGGTGGTGGATGAGGAGATACCCCCTGACAATGTAAAGCGCTTTGAGTGCCTAGAAAAGCGCTATATAAATGTAATGAATTATTATTTTATTTATTATAACAGTCCTTATTTGGGGAAGCACCTCCATCTAACAATTATCTTTTTTCTAGCCTGGGCATCCCGCACCCCTTCCGTTAGAGATCGGCCTTTTACTCCTTGTTAATAAGGAGCCCAGAGTTCCAGAGATCATTCAGCTGCTGGACTGGCAGGACCAGCCTGAACGTTACATCATGGTCTTGGAATGTCCGTCACCCTGCAAAGATCTGTGGGATTATACAATGCTTCAGGGAGGCTTCCTCAGCGAGGACACAGCACGGTTTATCATGACGCAGGCAACAATGGCCGCCCACATGTGCTGTCAACGAGGAGTATTTCACCGGGACGTTAAGCTGGAGAACCTGCTGATCAACCCAGAAACGCTTGAGGTCAAACTGATTGACTTCGGGTGTGGGGATCTCCTGCAAGACTCCGGCTATGAACGATTTTGTGGTATGTATTATGCATCACACCTGTAGTTTGGGACTTCTAGTGACAAGTTAAATTGGTGTCCTGTAAACCATATCTTGCTTTTGACGCAGCAATTAAAAAAAAAAATGTTTTAATAATACCAGATTTTTTTTACTGTGAAAACTGTAGTAGTTTAAGCTTACCCATCAGACAAAATCTCTTTCCTTCAGGCACACCAGAGTACTGCCCGCCTGAGTACTACGTGGACCACAAGTACCATGGGAAACCAACTACTGTATGGTCTCTGGGAGTTCTATTGTTCATGTTGGTGTGTGGACACTACCCAGAACCCAGAGACATAGAGATGATTGATTATGGGATCTGGTCTAAGCCTGACTTGTCGAACGGTAAGATGCTATTCATCACAACAAAGCAGACTAACTGTAATTTAAATCATACAAAACAAGGAGGGAAAAGTAACACCTGAGCCAAGTGGCTTTATAAAAAATGGATAATACAGGACTCATACCTGATTTTCTGATTGTACAGTATAGAATAGTACAATCTTATGATACAAATCTTAATACAAAGAGAGCAGATGTAAAGTTTAAGGTGATAATCTGACTCTCTCATCCCTTCCTCTCTTCCAGATTGCTGCCACCTGATTCGGTCCCTGCTGAATGAAAGCCCAAGCCAGCGGATTGATTTGGGGGAAATCCTTTTACATGAATGGTTTAAGGTACTGAGCTGCAAATGGTTTGAAGATAAATCTTGAATTTGTTTTTTGTTTTCCCTAAAAAAATTTGTTCTTTAAGAATAATTTCTCTGTATTTTGGTGCATTTGTTTTTATATGTTGTTTGTTTATTGTGAAGAGAAGAAATCTGAAGTCAAATTTCTTTTCTAATTATAATGTATGTAGACAATAACCCTAATCTCTGTATTCTTTCTTTTTTGTTCCAGGTCACCAAACAGACATGAAGAGCAAAATTTAATATTGGTAAACAGAGTAACTAGAGGTTCCTGTGAAAGCCGCTCCTGCCACGGCCGCATCAGAGGTTCCTCTATTGGCTGTCACAGAATTTTCAGTCTCGGCTTCTCCATCCCTCTGCTTAGCGCCTGCCGTCTGCGTGGTCCCTCAATGCCTTAGCATCTTGCGAGGCTGTCAAGCCCTGGTAGCATCTGGCTCCTTGGTTTGAGGCAGTAATATTTGTGTCTGGCCGTATTACTTGCATATCTGGTGACCACATATGTAAATGCAATGTAAATAGTATTTTTTTATTTTAATTATTATTATTATTGTTGTTAACCTATTATTATTATTGTTGTTGTTGTTAACATATTATTATTTTTGTTGTTGTTATAAAATTATATAAAAAATAAAAACAAAAAATGTTGTTACCTCATTTCCACCAAAAATGGTGTCTTTCACAAATGGCAACATGGTGATGGTCTCATATTAAGCCCGGTTCAGTCTACACGATTTTAGCCCGATTTTGGCACGATCTGCTTGACGTAGGGTGTCGTGGGGATTTGTAAACGACGATGGGTGTCGGGATGCAAGATTCAATCGTTTCATCTTTGGGGAAGTCATGGCCTAATGGTTAGAGAGTCGGACTTGTAACCCAAAGGTTGCGGGTTCGAGTCTCGTACTGGCAGGGATTGTAGGTGGGGGGAGTGAATGTACAGCGCTCTCTCGCCGCAGCATAAATGGCTGCCCACTGCTCCGGGTGTGTGTTCACGGTGTGTGTGTGTTCACTGCTGTGTGTGTGCACTTAGGATGGGATAAATGCAGAGCACTAATTCCTAGTATGGGTAACCAAACTTGGCCACATATCAAGTCACTTTCACTTTCATCTGGTGTAGTGTGTCATACTGGATGACAACCGATGCCACTTCGGCGAAAGAGACAATGGTATCGGTTCTGCTAGGTGGAATTTTACAATGGAGGAAATGTTCATGGAGCTATGGCAATAAAACTCCTGCATTTATGTTTCCTCGAGGGACTACTGCGACAGAGTGAAAAAAGGTCAAATAAACACTATTTTACCTCAGTTCTCTTTGACAGTCCATGCTGTCCTCTTCATGCAAGATTTTAGGAGTCAAAATCGCATAATCTGACACAGTAACCGTCAAAAATAAATAAATAAATTGTGTAGTCTGACCTGGGATTTAAAGCTGCAGTCCGTAACTTTTTTGTTTAAAAATGATCCAAAATAAATTTTTGAGCAAGTGCATAACCAGACAGTGTT